AAAGATAATCTTAAAAGAACGTTTTCATGCTGATATACATTTTGGTATACATATTCGTTTTTTTTTCTATGTTAATTCGGTGTACGCTACGGTGTGACATGTCTCTTTGCTCGAGCGATGCTTTTTCTCTTCTTTCTTTTAGGTTGTTTGAACATGAAACCAGGAAAATCGACGATGTTTGCATCGTGCACGTACAATTATAAGAGTAAATTTTTCCTGTGCATGTCAACGAACCCAGCAACAGTTCCCATTGTCGCGCACGTAGTGCTTCTGCCATTGCTAAACACGATACACCGCGATCGTTCCAAGCCCATCATTATACAGACTTGCGTAAGAAAGGCGCATAAATTTTCTTTATGCATACGTTTCTGTAGCTATGCAAGTTTGTCTGAATGGATCATAAAGACTACATTTTTTTTCAATCAGTATACAGAAAGAGATGTGTTCATTAATACGCTGTCGTAATGTTATAGACAAAAAATCATGAGCTACATTTGCGTCCGAAATTTTCATGGACGACCGCCCAATGGATGAAGGACGAGATATTTCCAAGAGCTTATTGTTCAAAAAATCAACATCAGAACATAATGAAATATCAAAAAGCTAATGCGCTCCTAAGACTACCAAAGTACACGTCGGAGGTGCCAAAATTAGACGCAGCATTTGTATCAACAATGTTTTTCGGCTAAAAGTTTCTGAAATACCTCCAAGATATTCCTAATCGACCAGTAAGACATTCACATTCATTTGCGTTATATAATTATATTTTTTAATCACAATAATTTAGTTGAACTGTATATTATATTTAAATATTACAATAGTATACCTCAATATTGAAGTATTATTTATTGAAGTATTGTTACTAACAGCACAAACCTCCAGGAAACATTCTCTGAATCTTTTAGGACGTCCAAAGAACGTCAGGATGTATCTCGAATAAAGCTGTTAAGGATTATATTAAGATCCAAATAAAGTAACCAGTCCTAAAAGAAACATGCGTATCCGATATGTATTGCTCATGATTGGCAAAAACCAAATTAAAGATATATGTTATTTTATATATAAAAAAAAGTTTTTTCTTGTGGGAAACATCGTAGGATCTTGTATTTGTTTCTTTACAAATTGTACCATTAAACGTAGTAATTTTGTGAACTTAAAATCTTAAAGATTAATTTAAATTGTATTAAATTTGAAGTTAATCTTTCTTTAAATTGACTCGTCGATTTGAAAAATAATTCATAGATTTCTTTTATTTATGTTTACATCCACTATATATAATAATTCGCAAAAAATTATCATGGTACAATTTATACAAATTCTAATTCTT